AGAGAGAGAGACAGAGAGAGAGACAGAGAGACAGAGAGGGAGAGACAGAGAGAGAGACAGAGACAGAGAGAGACAGAGAGAGAGACAGAGAGAGAGACAGAGAGAGAGAGAGACAGAGAGAGAGAGAGAGACAGAGAGAGAGAGAGACAGAGAGAGAGAGAGAGAGAGAGAGAGAGAGACAGAGAGAGAGAGAGAGAGAGAGAGAGAATAAAAGAAAAATAAAAGACAGTGACTTACTTGCATTCTCCTGGTTTGCTGCATGTGCCATGTAAGGGGTTACATCCTGACTTGCAGACAGCTTTTGTAAAAAACACAAAAAGTAGCATGAAGTCCCAGCATGTTTTTGATAAACCTGTTTTAGATCTTGTAAAGCCATGTGTCTGTCATTCGTTGCTGGTGGAGAAGGACAGAATATGACTGTAACACTGACAGGGTTGGGGTGCCTTCAACAGAAACAGGAGTTTCTGAACATTCTTGACATTCTTACAAAGTGACACAACATGAACTTCCCTCAACCTCCAAGCTTTTGTCCAAACAGGCAGAGAGGAAGTTAAAGTGGAGGACAATGATCATGTGACCACCTGGAGTTTTCATGTGAGGTTTTCATTTTTGAGTCACAAAACATGATTTAATTTAAAAATATGACTTCTTTAAAGACCTATAAAATATCTGAAGGAATAACAGAAATCCAACAGCTTTTAATGACCAGCTCCCATGTGTTGCTCATGTTGTTGATGTRCAGAAGCAGCTTTTCACCTCACCTGTCTTGCAGTCCTCTCCTTTCCAACCTTCCATACATCGTCTCTTTCCAAACTGGTCACACACGTAATGACCGAAGTAGTCATCACGAGGACGACACACTGTGTTGCATCTGATGCCGTAGTAGTGTTCATCGCAGCGCACACGGATGCTGTATTTAATGGTGGCAATCAAGCTTTTATGTTCCACTGTCTGTTTCTCCTCTCCAGGGCTAATCTTCCCTTTGTGGACGCTCCGCTCGATCAGAAGTTCATCATCTTCACAAAACACAAAACAAACACACAAAACACACTTAAAACAGGCTTGGAGTTTACATCTAAAGAAATGTTCAACAGAAAGTTTCAAACATTTTCAGACTGGACTTTTTAAAAATAGGTTTGATCATTTTCATTGATCTTTGTTAAATAAGTAAAATAAAATATAAAACTAGGTGTCGTCTGCAGAGCAATGAATGTAAGATATCTGACTTTATGAAACTAAATWACTTTTCAGAGGAGCTTAGTGACAACCATAAAATTAATCTAAAAATAATTCCCTTAAAAACAGGTTTGTGACCTTCCAGGAAACTGTTTCTGGGCACATATAAACTTCCTACATTAGATTAGATTAGATTAGATTAGATTAGATTAGATTAGATTAGATTAGATT